TATATATATATATATATATATATATATATATATATATATATATATAGTTATAATAAAATGAATAAATTATTTGCTAAATACAATAACATATAATGAACAATATTAAAATAAATTATATATAAATAATTATAATAATGAATGAATTATTTTCTAAATATTGTACAATAATATAATAAACAATATTTAAAATGATTTATGTAAAAATAATGATAATAATAAATTAATTACCAATCCCATAAATCACCAGACATGTCCAAAAATTTAACAAAATATTCAGGTTGTGATAAAATAATCAATACAGTTGTCTTAGGATCAGCATCTTTTAAAGAACGTTTGATTTCACTAATCACTTCATGTATCTCATTTTTCTTAGGATCATAACTCAAAGATATTCTTTTACCAAAATATTGTTTAGCCATATTTTCATTAACAAATGTATAAGTTGTTAATTCTGACAATTGTTCAGAAGGAAAATCAAGTGTCAAAATAGGATATATATTATTATTATATCGAAATTTATAACAACTTTTTAAATTAACTGTAAAACTACTAAATTGTTTAGTTCTGCATGGACATCCTTCAAAGAAACAAATTATACAATAATTTAAATATTAATATTTTGAACAATAAAAAAATATATTTTTAATCATTATCTTACCAACAGATTTATTGTTAGTATTGTCTTTAAAAGTTATTTGTAAGCGTGGTATTTGTTTAAAAAAGTTTACATTCTGTCTATCTTTTAAGATCCATTTTAAACAATTATTTAATCTTAATCTATCCATAATATAATATATACAATCTTGCATTTCTTCATGTTCATCATCATCATCATTATCATCATCATCATTTTGATTCATCCCATACCAACTACGATTAAAAGGACAACAACATTTTCCATAAACATTATTTTTCTGTATAATTTTCTTTTCTTTTTGTAATATACAGTTGTTTGTTTGTTTTTTTTTGGAATTATATTAATTTATTATTTAAAAAGACAAAAAGTAGTATGACTTACGTATTCACCAATTCTTTCCTGAACATATTGTTAATCAAGATTTAAAAACTAACACACACAAGGATGTTTTAAATATTTAATGTGATATTATGAACAATTTTTTTTACTAATATTTAAATTATTATTAACTATATCAAACCGTCGTATTTAACTGTTATTTAATGTAATAAGCTTATTATTCTGTTAAATGTGTACTGTTGAATTTAGTATCATGTAAACAAAACTATTATTATATGACAAGTATATTAAGAAAAATTAGTCCAAGTAAACTAATGTAAATAATAAATATAATACAAAGAAAATCTATCTGACAAATTACATTATAACTACATGATTCAAATTACAATTATTTAAACGAGTTCTTTTTTTTTTCCATAACATTATCCAAAATTTTAATAAACTATTAAACAAAATCTCAACAACCTAATAGTAATTGTGTAGTTCAGTAACATCTTTAGTACAAGAATAATAAGTATTGCAGTAAAAATTACTTGAAATAGTATTTGTTTATGATTTCTTTGAAAAAAATTCAAAATTGATTGATCAAAACTCAAACAATTATTAAAGTTTAAAGACTGTGTTCAAACGAGTGGTATGTAAATTATAATTTTTTTTCTATGAAGAAGAAGTGTCGCCATTCTTTGTTTAATAGTCTCACATTGTTTGACTTTTAATGACCAAAAATTAGTCATTCAAAATTAAGGTATAACTATAATATTATATAATTATAATATAATAATACTAAAAATAATTAAAAATACGTTATAATACTTAGAATAATACAGTTAAATCAAAATTTTGTACAATCCTGATATTCAAGCTTATACATTGTACATAAAAGAAGCTTGTGTCTGTGTTAATTTTTTGTAATAAAAATTTTTGCAGAATATTATCAATTTTATACTAGACTTAGAATTTTATTTTTTCTTGATAATAATACGGAATAATTCATCGAGAAATATTTCATTCTATTGTATTAATCATTACAGGTAAACAATGGAGTACAACCTACTTGATGATGCTATGCGTTTAGTTGTTAAGTATTTAAACTCCGAAGACTTGAAAAATGTGTCTTTAACTTGCAGGTGCATGTAAACAAAATATTTCATTTATATTAATATAATATTATTATATTTAATCAAATTTATGTTTAATTATTGGTCCTTTAATAAACTAACAATAAATGTATTAGGTTGGGGAAAAAGTTATCCATTATTTTTACGTTAACTTCAAACCTTTATTTAACATACTTCTGGTTGTTTGATTTTGATCAAATATGCACCGTTTTGTTCGTTAATTTGTTAACGTTTTAAAGGTAGCTTCATAATGTCTGTCTCATAAAAGTCTTGGTCCCTATTTGCGAAAAACTCTTGTGATCGATTTTTACAATCTTCTTTTAATGTCAATTTCTTATCAATAAGAAAGTTTTGCAGTGCAACAAAAATATGATAATCGCTTAGTGTAAGGTCTGGTCTATATGATGGATGCATCAAAATTTCCAAACCAATCTCCTGGAGGTTCTGGGAAGTCACTATAGTCATGTGTGACCAGGCGTTGTTCTGATCAAACACAACACCTCTCCTTTTGGCCAATTCTGGCCGTTTCTGGTCAATCGCTTGCTTTAAATGATCCAGTTGTTGACAGTAATGATCCCAATTTAGTGTTTGGCCATATTTAAGCAACTCATAATAAATGATTCCTTTCCAGTCCCACTAAATGCACAGTAGAACCTTCCTGGCCGTTAGTCCTGGTTTGGCTACCATTTGAGCTGCTTCATCGCGCTTTGACCACGATTGTTTTCGCACAATATTGTCGTATGTGACCCATTTCTCATCCCCAGTCACCATCCGTTTAAGAAATGGGTCGATTTCATTCCGTTTGGCCAAGGCTTCGCAGATGGAAATTCGATGCATCATGTTTTTTGGTGTTAATTGGTGTGACACCCAAACATCGAGCTTCTTTTTGAATCCAGCTTTGCGCAAATGGTTTAAAACTGTTTTATGGTCGATCTTTAGCTCCTGGGCGATGCTACAACTACTAAGAAGCTGATCAACTTCGATTATTTCTGTGATTTTATCGACATTTTCGACGATAGGCCAGCCTGTGCGAGGTGCATCTTTAACATCAAAAATACCTGAACGGAATCGACGAAACCAAAATTGCACGTAATTATCTGTTACAGTATTGAGAGTGTAAGCACCATTTACAATTTCACCCGCCTAGCTTGAATTTTCGTCTTTAGATAATAAAAAGTGTGAAATGTACGGAATTTTCTCTTTGTTGACTTTCATTTTGAACACCCTGTAAATCACAATTGAATAGACCAAACAAAAAATGGTAAAGGAATTTTTTTTAGCTCTAAATGTCACCTTTCTAGCAAGGATAAATTTAAAATTGTTTGATTGATATTTTG